TATGAACTATGATAAGAATTATGATAGATAGAATTTTCAGTGAAATATAGTACATTTTTTAATAAACACAGTGATAATCAGTGATAATCTATTTTTTCGAGATATTTACTATTTATAGTACATTTTTTAATAAATGCATTTTTTAACAAATGCAGTGATAATCAGTGATAATCTATTTTTTCGAGATATTTACTATTTCCATTGTTACTTTTACTCAATGATTGATTTGCGTTTCATTTATAGTAAAAGCTTTTCAATGAGATAAATGGGAAAAAAAAACAAAAATAAAACATATTAAGTGATAAGATTAAGTTGCTGATCGATGAAGGCGAAACTAATCAAAACTAACAATTTATGATGAAATTATTTGCGAAAATAGTTTTAAAAAAAAAAACAAGGAATGAAAATAATGAAATTTTCATATAAAATTCATTGAGTGGAAAATGATAAAATTAAGACTAATAAAGTGATAAAATTACTTTTTGCACTGATTAGTTTTGTAAATATTTGTAAATGTTTTTTGAAAACTTTTGAATTTTCCCTATTGTGACTTAAAAACAGCTGAATCCTATCTAATCATCTTTTTTTTCAACGATTCTTATCATTCTTATCTTTTATCAAAAAGCGGTTACTATTTTCTGGTTTATTTGATTTGATAATTATCTAAAGATTTGAGACCTTTCTGCTAATCGAGAATATAAAAATATAAGGTGGATTCCCAGTGTTGCCTAAATCTTATTTTCAATAAGTCTGATTTCGTTTCCTTTAAATGAATTCAATTCATATTGGCTTGAAGTCAACCTCGAACCATTAATGTTAATCGACAATGTAAGTTGTGATAACGAAGTTAAAATAAAATTATCTCTATAAAAAATATTACGTTTTACATGCTTAAGCAAATATTTTAATTGAACGAATGATATATTTATCTTATTTTATTTTGTGGAAATACCTTTTTTTGTGGGGGGAGAGGTGGGGGAGGAGGAATAAAATTACTAACAAAATTTTGGGAATCACCGATTCAACAATTAAAACAAAATATTTATGAATAATGCTTATGTAATGCTTAATGCTGCTTATGTTAAGGATTGTAAAAACGAAAGGAAGAAATTGGCGTCAAAGTTGCCTTAGACATTTTTTGTTGCTCTTTTATAAATAATTATACTTTATAATAATTATATTTATATTTATAAATTAATTTCCGAGTAAATATGCAAATATTTCTTCAATTTAATTTTAATTTTAATTTTAGCATTAAATATAATAGCCGGATTTTCATATTTTTAAATTGATAATAAGATGAAGGGGGGAGGTGAGGGGAGTTTTTTTAAGGGAAGAATTTCTCTTTGGGAAGTTAAAAAAGCTATAACATCGTAAAATAACAAAAAAAAAGCATTTTTCAAGCAAATCTACTAAATTGCAACAAAAAAAGTCTTTTTTTTTGAAAAACTCGACAGATTTCCAAATTTCAGTCTTTTTTTCTTACAAAAGAAAACAGGAAAATTTCTGAAAAATCAGAAATTAGCTGCTATTTAGCGATATATTTAATATTTTAAAACGTTTGGCATCCATAAATATTATATTATTAAAGTTTATTGGCACTTCTTTCTAAGAGCTCTTACTGGTTAGACTGGGTCCACAAGCTATGCTGTTCTCCAAGTTGTTTGATCTTTGACAATAGAAGCCATTCCTTTCATCATTATCCAAAACCATATATCACTGGTCCATCTGTACGACCAAAATCTTTCCTAAAATTGTATCATTCCAGGTTTTGATTGGCCCACCTTTTTAATTGGCTAGGGTTTAGCAAGTAACGAAATATATGCCGATTTCCGTGGTGGACGGCAAAAAACATAAGCAACAAAGAAGACGTTCTGTGATGGTATTGTTAATGCAGATGGTATTTTAGTGCAGTCATATAAGATCTTATCGAATCGGTACGGTACTTATGAGATTCATAATAATTGGAATTATTGAAAATAGGATTAAAGCGATAATTTCTGATTAGTTCACACATGATTCGTACTATGACAATAAAATAAATTTAGTAAACTGGGATATTTGAACAAAGCAGATCGCCAGATAATCCCTCTTTCTATAAATTCACGTCTAAAAATGCATCGAACAATTCGTATAATCACTGCCTCGTTGCACTTCTTCTTCTTCTTCTTAAGAGTCCTCACCATTACTGGTTAAACTCGCTCCACTGGCTTGTCGCATTGAGCAATATGCCAGGGAGTCCCATGGCGATAGAAATACAGGTGAGTCGCCAGCATCACCCGGATTTTTGTATAGGTTTGCTTCTGCGGGGAATAGCTTCGGCTGCTCCAAATTGCAACAATCCACTGAGCCATCCTATGGCTCGTTGCACTAGCGGTAAGGTTTTCTTGAGTTTATGAAATAACTGAAAAGTAAACCACTATCGAGAGGAAGCTTATATATCGCCAAGCCTCCTAAGTAATCTTTTCTGAGCGTAGTCCTGTGTGAATTTTTATTGCACCTCTTTGCATTTATATCACACGGTTAGATAATTAGCTCTACATCTTCAAATTTCTGCAATAGGTCGAGAATTGATTATTGTTGATGCAACCGATATTTCGGACATTTAAAATCTGGTCGGGTGATAATTTTATAAAAAAAAATAAATATTTTCTCAACGTATGAGGCGATAAACATTGAGTCCAAGTTACGACCTGTTGTAATTTATCAAAAATATCATCAAAAATAACATCAGTTTATTCAAATATCTTAAGTGCCCACAAACAAAATTTCCATAAAACCAGGTTGGACCATAATTCAACTTATCGCATGGTTCAGCATTGGGGAGAAAAAATCCTAATGTCTTGACAATATACTTGTCCTTACATTAAAAGGATTTACAAGTTTCCACTTCTACTATTTTTATAAATCGAATGATATTCTCGGAAAAAACACCGTAGAACAAGACTTCGTCTGTTGAATCGAAGAGAGGCACCAAGAGGCCAAAAACAGTATAAAATAGGTGACAGCAGGTTATTAATATATGAAGCAATGTTCGAATACTCTTCTTGGTGCTAACATATATATTATATATATATATATAAAATCATGAAAATCGTTCTCTTCTGAAATCAGCATGTCGCCGCTATTTTTTGAGTCTATTCAGCTGAAGGGAGGCGAAAATATTATCTGAGAATTTTATTGGGCTAATTCCTTGATAGTCCAATTTCTTGGAAGACTGGTAAGAAGATTGCTTTCTTCCAGTCAACAGACATTAATTAATTAATTAATCTTTTCGCACCAATTAACGCATCCTTTGAAGATGAGTTTTGAGAGACGGGACTCAATGGCATATTGCTCAATGTGACAAGCCAGTGGAGCGAATTTAACCGATAATGGTGAGGACTCTTCAAAAAAAGAGATCTCTGATGTTGTTCTTGGAATCTGCTGAAATCAATTTTCTAGTTTAGAATTCCGAATTTTTTCTGATACTTTTATTGGTTTTATATTTCCAAATAACAGAAATTATTTTTTTGTTTCTATTCACCAACAGTTGCAACCATTTGGTTTATGGAATGAAAAATAGTCAGTTTGGTCCAATCCTATGAACCCTTAACAGGAGGCTTATTCTCGACCATTTCACTAATCGCTACCGGATTATGGCTGTTTTAAAAATGCAGTATAATTATCGCGCATTCACCTCTATATGAAAGGCCATATTACTGCAGTTTTTGTGCGACCATCACTGTATCACATACCATCAAGCAATTAGGAATTCTTGAAATACCATAGCCACAGCCATTTTGGATAGTTTGCTCGTGCGTTTCCTCATACTTAATTACCACAAATGATTCAGTTTTTGTTTGGAAATATTTTCTGTATTTATCTAGGGAGTGACGGAAGAAATAGGATTCACTAAGATTCTTAATAATAGTGAAGATAAATAATATGAATATTATAAAGACATCAAGATTATAAAAACATTTAATAGAAATACAAATAAATGACTATATTAAGAAAAACGCAAAATAATAATAATAAATGATGATAATAGTTAATAATAATTAATAACAATAAATAATAATGATAATAATAGTAATAATCTGAAATAATAATGATTAATTTATTGATTAATACTAAATAAATCGTAAAAATTATTAAATTCTCTAATAAACAAAAATTTTTAAATAATAACAAAATAATATATGTTTCAATTAGAGGAAAACTATTTTCACAGAAAAAAAAAACATATCATAATTAAAATTTAAAAATAAAGATTTTGTTGAAGCAAAAATAAATTGCTGTTGCGGTTGCAGAAAAGTATATGAATCAGATAAATTAAAAATATACTAAAAAAGAAAATATGACAACCGCGCTAAGCGAAAATTTCGCGTAAAAACGCTCTAAAGATTTGACCGATCTAATGAAAATAAATAAACAAAATAATAAAAATAAATGAATAAAAGTAAACATGATTTAATGTTACTTTTATATTTATAACAGTTTTTTAATAAAGCAGCAACAATTAATTTCTAATATCATGGTACCACCTTTAAATTTTTTTTTAAGAATTCTCAACATTACTGGTTAAACTCGCTCCACTGGCTTTTTACACTGAGCAATATACCAGGGAGTCCCTTGGCGATAGAAATACAGGTAAATCGCTAGCATCACCCGGATTTTTGTACAAGTTTACTCCTGCGAGAAATCGAACCTCAGCATCGGCGCCTCCAATCGAGCAACAACCCACTAGGACATTTTATCCCCACTACTTTTAAATAATTTAAATTATTTTCTTATCTTTTTATTATTTTTAGTAATAATAATTATAATAGATCGGTCATCATTAAGAAGTAGAATTCCTTACCACTTTTTTTTCATCGGAATATTTGACAATAACACCGTTAAAAATATTGAATTTAATAAAACACAAGAATTTTTAATTCAATTTCAGGCAAGAGAATAACTTGTGAGCAATTATTGCACGAACTGATCGTTGTTTTAATCCACAGAACCAGAAATTAAAATTCATCATGCCTATATTGCTGTTGCTTAGGTAGCATATAGATGCCTTCCATTGACCTCCACAAAGCTGAATTTCCTGGCGATGAAACACCAACTACTTCACGTTGTCCACTTATAGGTCTACTGTACTGATGTCCACTTGTGGCTAGATATTTTCCTAAATATGAAATAATCTCTTATTAAAATAATCTTATTTACTAATGAAAGTTATGAGAGTTCATTCTTCGACTAACCTGTATCTTTGTGTTTCAGTTTCACAGAGCCGTCACGAAGCCATTCATCTGTATTGCAAACAACAACCCAGTGATCACCCGTATCTCCTTCAGTAAAGCATGATATTTCCTTTAAAATTTAGATTAATTTATAATATCTAAATAAGAAACAATGAACAATTGCACGAATTAATCATGACTCTAATTTATCTAGCACGAAATGGTCAATTAAAACTTTTCATGATGAAGTGAATGAATTTCAACCATTCAAAAAAACTCACTGTCAACAAAATAGAAAGGAAAAAAGGAGAAAAGGAGAAAACCTGATTTCCATTCGATAGTGGTGCACTAAATAAATGGCTGTGAAGGAAGCACCCAGTCGAAGTATGCTTTAATCTTATTAAATCACCACATTTAACTGTTTGCCCACGTTTATAACTCGCATTCATGGCTGAAAAAATTTTCACAACATTTAAAAATTAAAATCAAGCATCAATAATGCATTGTAAATGCATTGCATCAACCAGTATCATAAAAAAAAAGCGAAGAATTTAAAGAATCACACATTCTGTAAACAAAATTCTAAATATTCAAAGATTAAAAATTGCGAAAAAAAAATCGCAAAAAAAGATCATTTGCGAAGAAACCTGCCAAAATTTGCCAATGAGAATTAACATCATCCAAATCAATCATACCAGTTACCGATTGTTGACCGCTACCAGAACCATACTTGATATCGTGCGAATGAAGTCGAACACCTTTAATGAAAAAGAAATAAATTTAAGAAGAGCAAACAGATTTAAAAAAAAACTATCACAACGACTCATACTTGAGACTATAAATAAATTATAAAAAATATTATTTTCCTATTTAAATGGCTTTAAATGAAATTTTTAAATATTCGTCGAAAAAAATTAAAAATGAAGAAAAATAAAAATTATTGTACTTCTGGAAAACTATTATACTTTTAAGATCACAATCTATGTAAATTCATCAACAGGAAGTATCAAATTTTAAATATCTCGGATCAACCTTCACCTAATGGACAAGCGAAAAGCGAAATTTCCGTTTGGATGGTTACAGTTATGCCTTCTTCTGGCAAAGCCCACTTCGAATTGCTGCGAAATCAGATTCAGACTCAAAAAGAAATTTCGCATGAATCTAGCTATAACACTATATGAATGAATTTGACTAACGAAAGTGGAAAATATCAGAAAGCTATCTGAAATCGTTTTTTATCTGAGGTACAAGCTTCGTAATATAACTATCTCCTTCATCCCTCGAATATCATCAACATGAGTATTTTATTGCAAGGCATCACCTTTGTTATTTGGCCATATTATCCTATCATTTATCTCAGAGATTTACATATCCTGCTGAACGTTGTGATGGATGGCACCAAAAGCGAGGAGGATCTGATTAAAATATGAACTGACCAGATGAGATTTTAAAAGCTTAGGCAACCCAATGATAATGACAGAAGTCTAAATGGTGAAAGAAAGAGTGGCTTCATTTTTAGTTCTAGGAATGGAATCGGAGTGGAAGGCTTTAAAGGCATCGCCAGTGGAGTTAGCAAAACTAGCTGGCTATTAGAAAAAAAGACTTGAAAAGGACCTAATCTAAAAAAAATTCTGATTCTTGACTCTTGGAAGAATCACAAAAAAATTCAAACCAAAATTAATCTTCATGAACGTCCACAGATTTACATTCAAACAAGTCCTCTTCTCCTTTCATTATGATAAATATAACTGAATAAATAAATAATTAATTTAAAAGAGGGGAAGAATGGTTTAATGGTTGGTTTTACTTTGGAGCGTCGGTGCTGGGATTCAATAGGATAGCGAAGCTATTCTTCAAAATTCCTGGAACACCTAGGGTGACTGAGAACGACTCACTCATATTTCTATCGCCAAATGATTTCCTGACCAAACAAGCAATGGTGAGCACTTTAAAAAAAATAAAAATAAGGAAAATGAAAAAAAGACAGATGAAAGAAAAAACCTTCTTGAATATTCTTTAACTTAATAACGGAAGAATAGGTGACAGTTTCATCATAAGTAGCACAAGCTGTTAAGAAAAAGAAATAAATAATATTGAAAATCATCCACATTTCTTTTATGAAATCCTTTCCAAGTACCAATCTGAATAAAATTATTCTAATTTTAAAAAAATATAAAAAGAAATGACAAATTTATAAATTAGCAAAAAATAACCGAAAATATACTAAGTATCAACCACAACGTATTGGTACTTTAATTCTTATGGCTATAAAATCCTTACGATTTTAATATTCCTAATAGCCTACGACAACTATAGTTGGCCTAAATCCAAAAGTTCGAAAACATCAAATAACCGCAAAATCTATAGCATGTTTAGCATTTTAAAAAATCCCTAAACCTCAAAAAGATCCTCTAAACCAGGTCGATTCAACTTTATAACAAAAAAAATGCAAATTTCAATAATGAAAATTAATTATAAAAATCATTTGCATTAAAGAAAATTTCGCAAAATTACAAATAAATTTTAATTTTTATCGTCTAACAGGCTGCACTGTTGTACTGGTTAGTTCCATTGGCTATAGAGGTGAAGCATCTAAGCTTCTCGATCTGACTCTATAGCTGAGATTAAAAAAAATGTAACCACACGCTCAAAATCCTTCTAATAACATTAGTTCGAATCTTTAAGAAACTGGTAAAATACTTATTTTTATAAATTCTTTACCGGAAATTCCCGATTTTAAATTTGTTGGATCCACTCTAATCCTAAATGGTCAGATAAAAGGTGAAATTACAACTAGAAATGCATTCTTTAAGTCGATGAAACTTTCATGAAACCATTGCGAAATCACCACAAAAACGAAATTCCGTGTCTATATGGCTCTAATTCGCTCGGTCTTGCTAAATTGCTTATCACTTCATTTAATCTCTTAAAAGCTAATTTTCATGCAATTTTCTTATCACATTTGCGAGATATGACTGATAAAAGTGAAGGAGAAGTTATTTGCTAAACTCTGTGATGGGTGGTGTCAAAAACGATGTGAGCAAATCAAGTTTTTCGCTAAGCAAGCGATATTTGGACTTAGAGGGTGGAAAAAGGAATGGCTTCTATTAGTGATGGCGTCGGGTCGAATGGCTTGGAGATGTCTTGCATTTATAGCCAGCGGAACCAATGGAGCCAGCGGAGCCAATGGAGCCAGCTGAACCAATGGAGCCAGCGGAACCAATGCAACCAGCGGAGCCAAACTTAATCAGCAATGGTGAGCAATGGTGTTAGAAAATGAAGTCGAAATTTTGGTGTTGAAAAAATTATTTCTATTTGCTGATTAATTTCCCTTTTAGAAATAATTTAGAAAAATTCCCATCCCTTCGAAAACTCTCTACTACCACTAATATAATCAAAATTGAAAATGGAAAAAATTAACGTAAATTTGACGTGTACAATTCGATATTGTGCTGCAATAAAAGTTACAGCTATATATTTTTTATAAATTGGTGAATTATCGTATAGAAGAAAAGATTAGATAGAAAAGTTTCACTATTTATCAATTACATTAACTTTATTTCATTAAACGATTATCACAAAAAATCAGTTTATTTAATGGTGAATTAACGAAACTGGAAAGAGTTCAGCTATACAGTTTGAATTTAAAAATAGGTCTTGAAGCAATTGTTTTCAAACTATTGGCTGAAATCCAATTTTTCTACTATCTACTCCATTGGCCAACATCGAATTCGTTTTTGATAAATGGAGGGGTGGAGGGTAGAGGAGGGGAGAAAGGAATTATGGGAGATGGGGGCGGAGTTTTATTTTTTCATGCTTTGAACTGTTTCGTTCTTGCGTTATTTTTTAGTACCACTATTAGTTTTACTGTTTGTTTTTTACGTGTTTAAATGTTCTTCATCTAATAGCTTTCACCTTTATTGATTAGACTAGATCCGCTTGCTTTAAAAGGCGCTTTGAAAAGGCTCGATTGCCCTATAAGGCAATGATAAAAGCCATTCTTTCTCCCTTAGTCTAAGCCCATTTATCATTTATCATCCACCCGTATGTTCGAAATCTCTCCCAATTCTATCAGTCCAGGTCTTGATTGGCTCTCCTCACTTTTGATAGCATCTATCGCAAAGGGTAATAAGACATTATTATTCATTATTATTAATCTAATGCGTATAATCATTTTTTGTTTTATTTTGTTTTTACTGTTTTTACCATTTTTCTTCTTCTAAGCTCTCACCATTACTGGTTAGGCTGGTTCAACTGGCTACAAGGGTAAGACATCCCCAAGCTGCTCGGTTCGACGCCATCGCCAATAGTATTAGAAGCCATTCCTTTTTCCGCTATAAGTCCATATATCACTGGTCTCCCTATACATTCAAAATCTTTTCTGACTGTATCAGTCCAGGTTTTGATTGGCCCTCCTCGCTTTTGATGCCAACCATACAGGGTTCGGCAAATATGCTTTAAATCCTGTGGTACACGACGAAAAACGTACCCTTAACCAGTAAAGGCGACGCTCTGCGACTTAATATAGGTGATATTTGCGTAAAGATGGATATAATCATGTCCGATTTCATCCGTAAAATGTTTATTTACATTGACCCACAGTCCAATTCTCGCTGCACTCGCTGACACGTTATTTAGCATTATTTGCATTTCGTCATAACTGTCAGCAAAAAGGACTACATTATCATGAGCGTATTCAAGGTCAGCATTGCTATGCTGTGGACTGACTTGCACACCTCCTGAGTGCCGACAAGCGATGGCCATTATCGGGTCTATCACACCAAAGAATTATTTGGCAGTAGAACCATAGGTGGGTCTCTAGCACTTTCTAGACTTTTGGGAGATAGGTTTATTGCTGGAGTAGAAATGTCTTGAAATGAGCAGCAGTAGCTCATTCCACACTCTCTATTTTTATTGTTTCATTTTTTATTGTTTTTTCTTTTTCATCTCTCTTTTTTGTTTGTTGTGACTAGAAAGGAAACCATAGATCTACGCTTTATTAAAATAAGGTAAATGTCAATGAACTGAAATTGCCAATTAAGTAGGTTGTTTATGCTAATGAATAAAAATGCTTTAATTTTTTAATTTGATTTCAAATTATATGTATTATTTAAATTATATTTTACAATACAGTGGGTAATTGTTTATTATTATTGTTAGTATTGCTACCATTATATCATTGATTGTTTATTATTTTTTTCAGATATTTTTCTAATTTTTTTATAAAATAATCTTTTAATTCTTGTTAATGATCTATATTTTCGTGAAATCGCGACTTTGGTTATTACCAAATATTAAAATTTTAAACTCGTTGATACATTTGAAAAAACATTTGAGTGGAAAATAGCAAAATATATTCGATTTGCGATATAGAAATGCAGAATTTAATTTATATAAAAATATCCTCGAAGCATTTTTTCATTTATAATTAAATTTTTTATATAATTAAATATAATTTTAGATTAGCCTTTATTAAAGTTTCGAAAAACTTTTCTAAAAGGTTAAAGTGCCAAAGAAAATTTAGAATTCTAGAATGAACCAAGTTAGAATGACAGGAAGAAGAAACAAAATCAGATCAGCTAGGTTTTTTTCTTGCAACCATAATCCACGTATTATATTTTATTTCGTTGAAATATTTCTTTTTATAACATTTGAACATTTGAACATTTTTTTTAGACAAAACACTAATCAGAGAAAAATGTCTATAACGGAAAAGCCGCACGTGGATTTCGTGCAAATTGATAGTTTGGTTTGTTTTTTTAAATTTTTATTAAAATTATTTTAATAAATTTTTGACATTTTTATGAAGCTTTTTCCTTAAATTAATTTTAATCTGGTCATATTTCGTAAATTTTGCAAAAAGATTCTAAATTTTTCAAAAATTTTATCTAAAAAATCTTTTATCTAAGAAATTTCTTCATTAAGCACAAATATACTTTTAAATTTTTCCTATTGGTTTTCATATTGTTTTTTTTTCAACTGATTAATCTTATCAGATTAATTGATTCTCTTTCGGTTAAATTGAATAAACTGATTTGATTTAGGATGTTGAGGTTTTAAAAAATCGCAAATTTTTTAGGTGATTATGAAAATTGTGAAACATGTTGATTCCGAACTTTATGCCGGCCTGAATGAAGTTGCTGGTGAAACATGTCAGGGCCTTTTGACTGGTTTGTTTATTTTCTTACTTACTTGCTATTCCATTTTTGCAGAATTAATTTTTTATTTTTTCTCTCTTCAGGTTTAGTAGCAATGGACGATCGCCGACTGGAAATAACTAATTGCTTTCCTACTGCTCGAGCAGAGCCAATTTTGGATGGTGATGAAGTTGGTCCTGCTAATTTTCAATATGAAGAGCAGAAACAAGCAGAAATGTTGGATATGCTTCGAAAATTTCGGTTCGTGTGAAAACCTTTTTTACAGTAAAGGTAAATTAAACATTGCATTATGATTATGCGTTATGAATATGAGGGTTCTGTTTTAAGGAACATGAATATTGATTATGAATTGGTTGGTTTCTACCAGGCTCATCCTTTTGGTGCTTGTTTTGCTCAAGAAATGGTTGATTCTTTAGTGGATTATCAAGCTAGTGTTCAGGATGGTGTTGTTCTCATTTATGGTTGGTTTTTATATGGTTTTAGTTCGAAATTTTGTCCTGTAGACTGATTTAAAGTTATTCTGTTGATTAAATTCTTTAGACCCTGTCCGAACTCGTCAGGGTCAGTTGAGCATTCGCGCCTATCGTCTTTCGCCTAAAGCGTTGGAAATGAGCCTTGATGTGGACTGGTCTCCAGAAAGGTTTTTTTTATGGTTTTTTATGAAATGAAGTTCTTTTTATTTCCTTATATGAATTTGCTAATATAATCAATTTTATTAATCGATAGTTTGTCAAAAAATTTTTTATGTTTTTAACTGTTTTGTTGTAGAAAATGAATATTTTATTACCAAATTATTTTTATTTAAATGGTTTTCTCTGACATTTGATGAAATGGATTAAATAAGGCTAAAATTTTTTCTAGTGTAAAAGCAGCTGGCGTAACTTATGAAAACATGCTCGAAGAATTACCTGTTGTAATAAAGAACAGTCACTTGATAAATGTAATGCTTGCTGAATTGGAGCTGGATAAGTCAAAAACATCAAAAGCTTCCTCAGCTCATCTTCAACTTGGAACTCACAGGCACTTTTTATGAATTATCAGGATATTTTTGTTGTGTGTTACATAATATTCTTATTCTTTATATAAATGAATTTGCAGGTCATTAGAAAAATGTCTTCGTGCTATGATGATTAATGTTGACGATTTGAATAAAACTATAATGGCATTCAACAAATATATTGCCGATAGGCAGCGTCATGATTTGAACGTTAGCAATGCTATTCAAAAAAGGGTATATTTGAAGCAATTTTTTTGTGGTACTTTTTTGGAAAATTTTTATTTTAGACAAATTCAAGTCCATAATTTAGGAACTAGAAAATGAACAGCGAGAGGCTCGTGGTGAACCACTTTTATCATTTGATGATATAAAGAAAATGAAGCCTCCTCAGCTGGCAACGAAATGTGGCATGCTAGAAAGTTTTCTGTGTGCATCCGACACTGAAGCGCATGCTAATTATGCATCTGAGGTTATTTCTAATACTTCCTTCTTTAAACATTCTATCCTTTTTCTATCCTATTATTTTCCCTATTATTTTTTTTAGATTTTTTAGATTCAGTATGATGTGAAGTATGACGTTATTTTTTTATGGTAGCTTCAAATTGAATTTTAAAAAAAAACATAAAAAACTTCTCGGCTTTTTTGATTTCGATTTATTTCTGCATAGCCATTCCTAAATTTTTGGTCTTTTTTTCATTTGAATTGGGCTTTAATTGAACATTTGTAATGGCATATAGATTAAGGCAGTAAAAAGATTATATATTTTATACTTAATTCAAGTTCAGTTATTTTTATCCATTTTTTTGACTTAAGAAATAAGTTTTATATAATGAAAAAGATGTTTGGTCAAAGAAATATGATACGAGGGCAAAATGATCAATACAGTGGTTGATGAGTATATTTTTACTTTTTGAATAAGATTTTTTACATTACATCGAAATTTATTTTTTTTTTTACATTTGTAATAAACGACTAACTTATTTTTTGATTGAAATAATTTTTTTCTTTTAGATTACTGGAGAAAATATCGCTAAATTATTCTTAGCCGAAGCGGTTCTGGATGACCGTTCCCTAAGGGATAGAACGTCTGTCATATCAAATTCGCGGTAAAAAAAAGGATTTTAATATAATTTTGTTGTTTTAAATTTCGCTTTTCACAATTGTGTTAAATTGATTATAAAACCTAAAACCCTTCTTGTTGATATAAGAATTTCCGAATTTGTTTAGGAGATTTGAAGTTCTTTCCTGAAGTTCATATATATTTTTTGTTTTTCCTTTTTTTTCTATAAGTAATGGGGAAGCGGGTTTTTATAAAATAAAATAAAAAAAGTTTGATCTTTAATTCTTATTTAAACTTTCTTTAACGAAATTTTTTAAAACTTCCAAACTGTTATAGTGATTGAAATTTTAGCTTTCATTTCGTAAATTTTTCAATCAATTTTTCATATTTCTATTATATATTCATACTGTGATTTTGTGATTAAATGTACGGAAGAATGATATCAATTGATAAGACAAATTTTTTGTAACAATTAAAATTTGAAATTTTAATCTCTATTATAATATATTGCTCATTATCAACTATAATAGGACAAGTGGATTGAAATCTTTCTTGATAAGATATGCGGAAAATTAAGCATTAAAAGATGAAGCATTCATATCAAGCCTAAAGTTCGTTTGAAATCCTTTACAATTTGCTTAACTTTTTATATTTATGTATATTCTAAGCATATTAATATTTTAATATTATATTAATACTGAGTGGTGTTAAAATTCAAATTAGTATTTCTGATAAATTTTATCAGTGAAGAAAAAAGGAAAATAGCTGATTTTGAATTGAAAAAATTTTGAAATTTTTGAATAAAATGAAAAAAAAAACGAACAATTATTGAATGAAATTATTGGATTTGCATAAAATCATGAACAAATGAATGTTTTGATTGATATAAATAAAAATATTTGAATAAATAAAATTAAATGAATTAGGGAAGTGAAGAGGCGATTCTCATTGAATAAACATCGAATGGAATTTCCAATTTTATCGAAATAAACAATTTAGCAATTAATACGAATTCACAATTTTGATAACGTCCATAGAAATAAATGAAAAAAAGAGTTTTTTTGCATTTTTTGATAAGTTTTATTTTTATTTTATTAAAATTTTATAATTGTTTTTCTATTTTTTTCAAAAATTTTTTAGGAAGTTTGATTTAATTTTTTTTCAATTTCTCATTTTCTAAAGAAAAAAATTATTTTAAATATTAATAAAAAATATTTTATTTTATAAAAAATATATTTTTTATTTAATTTGAAATTTAATTTAATTTTAGCGAATAATTTAAATATTATTTCCATTCTTTTTGGTTTTGTTCATTTGTGATCGAACTAAAATAGTTTAAATAGTATTTTCTATTATTGTTATTGTTATTCAAACATATAATTCAGGGAATAATAAAAACATTACTAGCAATAATAATAATTATTCAATTATTATTATTGTTTTTACTATTATTAATACTTTTGTTATTATAATAAATAAATAATTAATATCGACTAAAAATTATAGCAAAAAATAAAAATTTAATAAATTTAATTGTTAGTATTATTTATTATTGTTGTTAACATTATTATTAATGATGTTAAGATAGTAATTATTATTTATTATTATTTATTATTATCATTTATTATTATTTATTATTATTATTTATTATTATTTTCAACTAATTATTGTTTATTACAAATTTATTGTCATTAATTGTTATAATCATTTTATTGTTGCCACCATTATTGCTATTAATTAATATAGTAATACTATTATAATACTATTACTATATTAATAAATAATATTAATTATTTTTATTGTTTATTGTTGTTATTTTTATTTAATACATTTATATTTACTATATATATATATATATATACATTTATTATTACTTGTAATTATTATTGTTATCCATATATATATATATATATATCAATTATTATTATTTTTATTACTTTTATTAATACTATTATTGCTATAATATTAATACTATAATAGTATTATAATAGTAATACTATAATGTAATAGTGCTATAATATTAATGTTTTATATTAATATTTACTATTTACATTAAATATTTTATATAATATTGATATGACATTATTTTTATTGTATTTATTATATTATTATTTATTTTATTATTTATATAATTTTATTATTTTATCGTCAGTTATTATTATTATTAATAATTATTGTTGTTAATTATTTTTAATTATCTTTATCTTTCACTATTTTTTATTATTTATTATGTTATTACCATTGTGCAAATATTTAAATCTACGAATAATAAAAATAATAATAGCAATAATAATACTTCAGTCATTATTATTATTATTGTTATTATTATTATAGTTATTGCTATTATTATAGCATTGTTACTGTTATTATATTTATTATTATACTAATAATTATAATAGTTTATAATAATAATAGTTGTCACTGTTATAATAATTATTATTACTGCCAATTATTATTATATTCTTTGAATTATTATGTTTTATTTGAAAAAATCTGATAATTAGACGGTCGATTATTGCAAGAAAAAAAATAATTTTTATAAAACGATAATTTTGTTTTTCACGTTTTTAGGGGAAATGCATCGCGTGGTGACCAATGACAAGTGTCAAAAATTTATTACTATTATTAATAATTGCAGTCCTTTGTTTTTTTCATTTACATCGATCATAGAAAAAGAAAATCATTGGTTGTCAATTATTTTAAATGAATATTTTAAATAATGAAAGGCATCTTTTATAGGTTTTTTTTTAGGCAAAAAGTTCGCTTTATTTCGAGATTTTATTTTTTTATCGTCGATTTCCTCGAAATTTTTCATAATTTTTTTTTTTAAAAGAAAATATTTTTTAGCATAAATTTTTAAAAAAAAACAATGTTATTTTAAGGATTTCGTTTATATTTAACGAATTAGAAATTAATAGAGAGAGAGAGAGGATAGCCGAAGGAGATAGTTTGTTGTTCAGATTCATTGATGATGAAGATTTGGCTGCATTAAGCAGGTTAGACTCGACCACTGAACCATTCTACCGCAAGAAGGAAAAATATCTCATTAAAAAATCCGGTTGGTATCCGGTCGGCTATTCTTTTATAATTCTATTGTCAAAAGGCTCTCCGCCAAAAATCCATATTGAACTATACTAACAATTAATGTAATAAATATCTATCAAGTATCTGCCTTATCAACTTTCGATGGTAGTTTATGTGTCTACCATGGTTGTAACGGGTAACGGAGAATAAGGGTTCGACTCCGGAGAGGGAGCCTTAACAATTAATGTAATAAATAAGCATAACCAGAAATTGTGAACGCTAATCCTCTTAATTTAAAGAAATAAAGCTAAACAATTCGTTTATTTGGTAAAATAGTTAAAGAGAATCTTCTCTTTTCTTATCTTCCAGGTCAATGATTTTGGTACTCACCAAGCCTTATTCGTATTATTTTCGACTGATACAGTCTGGAAATTTTCATGCATTGTGAGAGGTTTCCGAGTCTTCACATCGGCAATCTCCATTTCCTTCATCTCTTCTTTATGATTTTAGCATAATAATTTATATTTCAATAATAAATTTCTTAATAAAGACGAGATAAGGCAATAGATATAAAAAAATCCTTGAAATTAATTTTGCTTATTGTTTTTTTCTTTTTCTTTTTTTCATAATTTCACTTCAAGTCTATCGGTCAAGAAAATTCGCTTATAATTCTCATTATTCACCACAATTCTCTTAAATTTATGAAAAGAATTATTGGAATCAAGAAATTTAACATATTCGATAAGAAATTATCAATGAGAGAATTCGAGAAAAATCAGTAAAATATAAAATATTTTGACGAAAAATAATTTCTATTGCTTCATGATTATATAATTTTCTACTAGTGAAATGATTGATGTCTTTCTTGCTTTTTCTACGATTTTTTAATCGTTAAAAAAAATCCTATTTTAATATAAAATCGATCGCATAATATTTTCAAATAATAATAATAATAATAATAATAATAATAATAATAAATATATATAAGCAGCGAATATAAATGAAAAAAAAATCTTTTTAATTTATAATGGATTATCATTTTTTTTTTTCAAGTATAATCGAATTTGTATGGCTTGAATTATCGCTTCTCGACTAAGATGAATTTATTAGCATTTCTATCACCGATGGACTCGCTAGAGGTGCATTGCGAAAAATCAGCGATGCAAGTTTAATGGTGAATTTGCTATAAAAAAAATCATCGCCTTAATTATCCATCTTAGCTTCTAATTTTTCTGGATTTGTCTTATTCATTTATTCAGAAATAAAAGTTATATAATAATTCTATTCTCTAAAAATGAATCTCTCGTAAATTTACTTTATTCTATTAATATAATAAAAATTAATGCATCGAGTTTCACCAATTAATCGCTTATTTATTTCCAAATTTTTGTGGATATTTTTTTTTTTTTTAAAAAAAAATTCCCATAATTATCGGTTTTGATCTTTAACAGATATATTTTTATATATTTAAACAAATCGCTTAAAAAACTATATATCATATAATAATTTCAAATCGACTTGCATTATTTTGATTATGATAATTGATAAGGAACTGTAAAATTGTCACTTATCATCGAATCATTTTATCATTATCATTTGAAAATTAATATATTTAGCTTAAACTTAGAATTAGTTAAGCTTTAAAATCGTAATAAACTCGAGCAAAAAAATAAGATTGAGTAAATAATTAATTTTTAATAAAATAATTTTTTCTCAATTTTATTTTGTTTTCTTCCTCATGCCTTGTTAATGCCTTATTAATTTCTGATTTTGTATAAAATAACAAAATATTATGATTTTATCGTTGATATTCATTCAAATTTTATTGATTCTCTTATTATTTATTATACGCTTTTGGCTAATTATTAATTTATTTTTTATAAAAAATTAAATCAAGAAAGATAAAATAAATTCTCCATTATTCTCATTTAGTTTCATTTTCAATGTATATCAAATCATTGTGTATTAAATAGTGATAATGATAAGCGATTAAAAAATGTGAAAAAGAATTTCCCAAATATATAAA